TCTCGAAATTCACTAAATTTGAAACCGCAAGGGTGGACGTGTAAGAAGATTTATCGTTGAGTCCAAACAGAATGGAGGTTTTCGCAATTTGAGCATACCTCAGGGGGTTGATTGTAATTTACCCTAATAAAAAAGATGGTTGGGCTCAAATATTTTTTGGGCCAGAATTACAGAATTTAATTTGGGCCTACATTGAGTATGGACTTGGTGATTAGCCCATAACCGTTTGTGTTTGTAGCCCATAAACCACACTATATTTTTGTTTTGTGTGCATATTTACGAGCAAGCGAAGAATTACCTGAATATGTCGGGGTCGTTTCGACGACGATAAATATATAGTCAAGAATTGAATAATGTGTAAAACAATTATCGGTGGAGTAGGCCCCCACCCCCCCACCCCCCCTAGACCGCAAATGCAATGCATGCAAAAGAAAAAAGAAAAAAAGAGGGGCCCAAAAACAAAAAGAAACATGTGATGACAAGTAATAACAATAACCCAACCTCACATGCAAAACTGTCTGATTCAAAGACATAATTATAATTATAATAATAATTTATATATACACACCACCACTAAACTTCTTACATACATACACATTTAATTCCACTGTGCCACATGCCTTCCTTCATTCATGCTTGCGGCGCCACCCTCCGCCACCACCACCACCACCACCACCACATGCCTTCATTCATTCATTCATTCTTTTTTTAGTTCCTTTCACTTCTCATCAAAATGGACATTTATTCGTTTGTCATATATATCAATTTCTATTATATTTTACTACGATCATAGGATTTGCATTTTCGTTTCAGTTAAAGAACCTTGACGAAATTTACCATAGTACCCCACGTACAACTGGATATTGTTCAAACCTAATTAAATTAATTTCAGACAATATTAAAAAAAAAGTAATAATAATAATAATTGGTATGCTGTTTCAGTGGTGTGCTATAGTCCTCTAATGTAATAATAATACACCAAATGTCTTACTATGCTAATGACCTTACATGCACAGAAGTTGACAAACTCTTTCTAATTCTACACATGCATGGTTTTTTTTTCTTTTTTTTTTTTTCCTTTTTTATTTTTAACATATATAGATCCTGATTTATTTTTAAAAAAAAATCTGAATAAAGATTAAGAAAATTGATGATTCGTATGTATTTTCTGGTCGTCGACGAATGAGAGAAAAGAAGAATAATCATGCAAACCAATCAAATATAATGGAAGAAAATATTCAAAAACTAACCTTATATTTACAGCTTAATTTATCAAAGTTGACCAAGAATCAAGAAATGATTAGCCAGTTCACATATGCTTGTTATGTATACACCAAAGTTGAACTGTATCATTATTAATTTAGATAAATTCTTAATTAATCAGATAAAAGAATGCCCCCAATTTATATAATCATGTATATTATTCCAATCCCTTTCATCATCAATTGACATATTAAAAAAAAAAACAAGAAACTGAAATCAATAATAACTTCTAGGAAAAGGCTAACTCTATATATATATATATATATATATATATATATATATATATATATATATATATATATATATATATATATATATATATATATAAAATCAAGTTGAAGATATTTAAAAAGATACAAAGGATATATCATGCGAGGCAACGAATGTGTCAATTCCCACAATTAAAGGCAGAATAGTTCAACATATGATAATTAAGATTTCCACTTTTTATGAATTATTTAATTAATTATTTTTCTTTTTTATAAACTAAAACCAGGAATATTCTTTGTAGAAAAAAGAAAAAAAATATATGATAAGGGCAGGCTAAGTTTGAGTTCTGCAACATTATTGGTGGGGTTTATTTCTGGGATCTTTATTTAATTCATTTATTTATTATTATTATTTATAAATATTATGGACTGCAACTTGAGCTGATAATTGATAATGAAGACATATTTTTTTTATAGAGATGGTGGGAGGAATGATTAGGAACCTAACTTTTAAGGCTAAAGTCTATGCACAGGTGTTTTTATCATAAAATATACCAATTTCCGAATCTTAAAACCTTGTTTTCTTGGGTAAATATACCTTTATTAATTTAATTATACTAGCTTTTATTTAATATTCAGTTATTCTAATACTATTTTAATTAAGCTGGCCCAAATTTTTTTTTATATTATTATTATTATTATTATTATTATTATTATTATTATTATTATTATTATTATTATTATTATTATTATTATTATTATTATTATTATTATTATTATTATTATTATTATTATTAAATTAAGTAGATCCAAAAATTTGCTTTGATATAAACAGAGGTTAATCCTGCTGCTTTTATTCTCCCTCTACAGAGAGCTTTTCGACGGATTTCTGCTGTATTTGCTTCTCCTAACGTATTTATTTTCTAGGCCTCGTTCGATTTATTATACATTATACAAACTGGGATCGATTGGGTAACTTTTTGATCGAGTTAGTAGCTTGAGTTAGTATTCAACCGAAGAAAACCTTATTATATTTTACCATCCTTTAAAGTCTGTTGATATAAATACATGTATTATGTATAGTTACAGCATTTGCCTCTTAAATTAGA